TAAATTTCACGTCTATCTGTCGCCAGAATCCTACCACGTAACGCAAGAGACTCACACTTGCCTCGCATCCAGATGATACATTTGCACAAAGTAGAGGGTGCTACTTTTTTATAAGCCATTTGCATAGAACACTGCTGTTCTCCCTCTCTCTCTCGCTTTCTCTTTCTCTCTCTCTCTCTCTCCTGTCCTCTCTCTTCCTATCAGATGCACAAACACATCCCACTCAAGCACAGAATGATACACAGCTTCATCGACGGTTGACAGTACCCAGTATGCAGCTGGCAGTCTCAGTATGGATGTAATATCCATCAGGGTATAACAGATCTTGAGCGTGTAAGAGCTGTTGAGTTGCTAAAGCAATGAACTACTATGATGACTGGTCGGAGTGTGGCACCCACTCACTCAATTTAGGAACTAAAAGGACTGCTTTCTTTGGAGTTCTGATGATTTTTTTTTTTTATGTATTTGTTGTTGAATTCAATTCAGTAATTCGAAGTACAAAGTCTGACCATGTATGCTTTCAAGAGAATATTGTACCCAAATAATAAGTTGACATGTTTATAAATCTATTGCTCATGGCTATGAGGGTAAATCTGGCACATTGTCCTGGATGAAATGAAATGAAATGAAATGAAATGAAATGAAAGAGCCTGGCCATTTCTGTGTTGTGTTCATCCACCTCTATTTCTGAGATCTGGACTGCCACGAAACTGCACTCGACATCACTTGATGTTTAGCCAATAAGCTGAATCTAAAAGATTAGATGAAAACAAACATGGTGCAGTGTTATGGACATCCGAATATTTGCAAGATACTCTGAAGCAATTACAAAACAAAAAGCAAACTCAATGTTGATTAATGTTGATCTGTCTGTGTAGTTTATCATGTGAGGTATAAAAGGTGTTGAAAGATCAGGAACTTTCACAAGAATACCGTTTTACCTAGCTGCAGATGTAAGCATAAGCATAAGGAAAACATCACGGCCTTCCAAAAATACTCGGTTTCTATCCTCGTGGAAGGCGGTTAAGTTTAAAACGTAACTACATGCCTTGTATGACAGTGTTTTTGATAAAGGAAACATGATGAAACCTTGGTGACAAGTCTGAATGCATTACCCCCCTCATTTGAAAGAAAACAAAACAAAACACTAATTCAAGCTAAAGGATGTCTGTGATGATGCAGGATGAGTCACTGCTTGTGCTGTTCTGGTCACATATTTAAGCATTTCAGCCAGTGACTGATGAGTGATGAGTGGTTCATACTCAGAGAAATCAGCAGTATTAGAGCAATTCCCAAATCTATGATAGTCTGCACGGTTAGATTTATATTGCTCTCAGATATGGGTTGTTTTTATCTGATTCCTTTTACTATTATAGCGTCACTGAGTAATTTAGACTGCTACCCCTGACAATCTAATAAAGTGTGGCAGCCTGGGAAAACCCTTTATGTATGCATGTATGTTAGCCACACGTAAGCTTCTAGCATATGAAAACCATATTTAAAGATTCCACTGAAAGACACCAACTGACTGATTGTATAAAATCAACTGCTATACGAAAAGAATAAATCACTCATGGCTGTGCTGTTATAGGAAAATAATCCATTGATTTTTAGTTGATTTTTCTGTAATAGCGTTTTATTCCTCTTACATAGTACCACTGATTAAAATTTTTAATTTAGTAAGAATGACATGCCAGAAATGTTACATTCACACACTCATTCACACCCAGGGGGAGTTTTAGTGTAGACGATCCATCTCCCAGCATGTTTTGGGGAAGAAGCGAGAGAACCCGGAGGAAACCCATGTGGACACGGAGAACATGCCAAACTCTGCACAGACACTATCCTGAGCTCAGGATCAAACCGAGACCCTGGTGCTGTGATTTGGCGAATACTATCTGTGCCACTCATGAGGAATACAGTGTTTTTTATTGCTTTAAATGAAACACTGATGATGGCTTGGGGATGGACTGTGTCATGCTCAACTGAAACCAGGCTCAGAAACACACTCACACATGGCAAAATATCATAATACTTTAGGATAATTTAATTACACATTATATGTAATGATAATACTGAGGGACAGCATGGTGGCGCAACGGTTAGAGATGCTGCCTCACAGCTCCTGCGATCCTCCGGGATCCCAACTGAGATAAAGTACTTAGTGAAGTTGAACGAATGTGTAAATATATTCCTCATAATAAGCCAGTGCCACCTCTACATGTAATATGGTTCCACATTTTCTTTCAAATTAATTTCAAATACTCAGAATACAGAATTGTGTCCTATCAATCTGAGCTTGAGAGAAGGATGTCTTAGTTCCTCTCTTCCCCTGTTAATATAAATAATGCTAGAAAAGTGGTCAGAACACGGTTAGACAACTGGGTAAAAAAAAAAAAAAAGAGCATCACATCAGTCAGTTTATCGCTAGGCTTGTACTACTTGGTGGCTAGCAAATCTCCTTTTTGACATTCACATATTCAGCACTTGGAAAGGGTCATCCAGCTGTGGCCAGGAAGCTAATGTGGCCCAACTGTTAAAGGTCTCGTTTCCAACCTCACCATAGTTTCCTGGTCATAATTGCATTTTATGCCTGAAGATTTGCATAGAAGATAGTGTTCAAAAAACCATAAGTAGCTATTGAGTAAATTCACCTTACTCACTAAAATGTATTTCAGAATGAGTACATAACTTGTGGCATTTGTCTTCTTTTTGAAGTATTGACCATTCACTCACTTGAAGAAATGAATAAAGGTTCAAAACCCTTTTGTCCTCTGTGTAAAACCTTACCCTGTATTTCTTCACTATGCCTACTTAGTAGTATTAGTTCCCTTTTTGACAAACAGGAAACATCTGGTGGAGAACATGGGTGCGGACCTCTAGCCATCCAAACTGTCTAAACCATGCCCTAGAAATTAAAGGATGCATAGACTAGTTGACTAATACATTCAGTAGACGCCACTGTGGGGATGTTGGCTAGTCAGGCTGGTGGAAAAAACAGTGAGTCAGATGGTAAAGAAAGCAGCTAAATGAAAACATTTCAGACTAAATGATGCCAAATCTACAGTCAGCTGCACAAGACTACCCTGGGAAAACTTTAAAAATTTTTCATTTTATTTTGATAGATTAAATGTTCAGTTCATTACAGACCAAAACTAATATTGGATCAAACCATAGTCCTCTGTATATTCACTTTCACTATCCTACCACTGCACACTGCAATTTCACAAAGAGAAAAGCTAGGCTTATTTTAGACCGGAGAAACAGGTTATGTGGTCAATACAATAGGCTGTATTTTAATTACATCCATACCACACAGGGGAGTGCTGTAATCTGATTTGCGTAATACATTAAAAGCAGTGGAACAGTAGCAGTGGCTGTCATAGTTAATGTGTGACTGGCAGGTGGGCCTGAGAGTGCCGGGTGATTGGATTAGAGGCTGTGAGTGTCATACACACTTCTGAACTTGGGATTTTACAGCACTGCAGTCAGTGTGCGCATCTGCCTAACTAACAGGTAGGTTTTTCTGAAATTCGATTCTGGTCAGTTTGATAATATTCATGAAGCTGTTTTTTTTTTCTTCAGAAAATTGCCTATTGTACTTCACTAACTGAGGGAGATGATATTTTTGATGACTTATTTCAGTTTGGTTATTGTGATCTTTCCAAACCACGTGATTATTTGCTACACCGAAAAATTCCCAGTATTCTACTGACTGTTTCATTGATTAATTAATTAAATGATATTAGCTATTTAGTTGCTGTATAGTTACTCTATACTATAATTAACTCTTGAATCATCTAATGAACTGATTGTGTTCAGCTGGAGTTCTATGAACACTGTAGGTGTTGATTCAACAGTCATTGCTTTGCACCGTTTGAACACGGAGTCAATGTTAATAAAAATAGAAGGGTCCTAACTTTGGTGCAACTGATGCAATGTTTGGGTTTCCTGTGTCTCACTCTCTGCCACATGCAGCTGACAGCATTACAAGCACACCCACGTGAGTGCAAGGATGTCACACACAATGGGCGCCAGTAGTTTCCCAGAGATGATCAGGCGGAAAAGGGACGGTGGTCAGCTGAGCGCAGAGGAGATCCACGCCTTTATAGAAGGAGTCAAATCACACACCATTCAGGAAAGTCAAATAGGTGAGACTCTAAACAAGCTAGTTATCACATCCTCATAGCCTCCCCAGTCCCACCCAAGATAAGCTGCATGTGAACAGAGTGTATAGATATGGGTGCGGTATGTAGGGGCACAGCGGCTTAGCGGTCAGCACTGTTGCCTTGCACTGCTGGGGTTGGGGGTTCGAATCTGTCCACCCTGTGTGTGTGTGTGTGTGTGTGTGTGTGTGTGTGTGTGTGTGTGTGTGTGTGTGTGTGTGTGTGTGTGAGGAATTTGCATGTTCTCCCCATGCTTTGGGGATTTCCACTGGGTATTCTGGTTTCCTCCCTCAGTCCACAGAAGTGCATTGTAGGCTGACTGCCATTTCCAAAATGTCTGTAGTGTGTGAGATAGCACCCTGTCCAGGGTGTGCCCCGAGTCTCCTGGGATAGGCTCTCTGTGTAAGATAAGCAGTATCAGCAATTATTAATTCTTTACCAAAAAAAAAAAAAACACTAGCATAAACGTAAATGTATAATTCAATCCAGTGTATAACCTACATTTTAAGAGAAGTTGATTCCATTTAAAAATGATGAGTACTTATCACCAGTTATGAACCTAACAGAACAGAAACGTGTCTCTACAGCCTTTTGTGTACTGAGTTTATCATCAAGCCAAAGCACTAAGAAATGCACTAGAACAGGAGTTGCTTTTTGTTCTTCTTCTTTCAGCTGCTCCTGTTAGGGGCCACCACATCATTGGTCGGAATATTTGATTTGGCACAGTTTTTTACACTGGATGCCCTTCCTTACGCAACTCTCCCCAATTTTAGCCAAGCTTGGGACCGGCACTGGCAGTGCACTGTCGTGTGCAACCCTAGTGGCTGGGGGTGGTTCCCTGGCCAGGAATTGAACCCGGGCCACAGCAGTGAAAGTGCCATGGCCTAACGACTAGTCCTCCAGGGACCTGCACCACAGCAGGAGTATTCGACTAAAATTTGTAAAATTTCATCACAGAATGGCGACAATAATTACCCTTTAATTCTTAACAAAGCCATGTCATCAGTTCAGACCAGAGAAGGTAAATAAAATGAAACAAACAACTGAAACAAAAAAAGGGAGCATGTTACTCCCGTGTTATCATCTCTTCACTGGCTGCTGGTTCAGTTCAGGATTGATTTTAAGATTTTATTATTTGTTTTTAAAGTACTACACAACTTGGCTCCACATTATATTATAGATCTCCTAAGCCTTTATACTCCGTCTAGGCCTCTGAGGTCTACAAATCTAATGTTGTTGGCTGCCTCTGTCTAAGCAAAAGTCAAAGGGTGATCGGGCATTCTCTGTACTTGCTCCTAAATTGTGGAATAATCTCCCCCTTTATATTCACTTGGCCCCATCAGTCGAGATTTTTAAGTCTCAGCATTTGAACTGTGGGAACATTGAGTACTAGAGATATTTGTTCTGATATTGATCACACTTTGTATATGCAGTTTTTGTTGGAGTTTATAATATTGTTAATGTGTGTGTGTTGATGGTGTTGGTCATTTTACTATTTTTCAATTTCCTAATTGTGAAGCACTTTGGTCAACTCTGTTGTTTTTAAATGTGCTATATAAATAAAATTGTGTAGAGTTGAGAGTTGAGATCTGTGAAAACTCTTCCCTTTCTGACCTAACGTCTCTAGCCCTGTAGCTCGTCTCTGGTCTGATAAGCTCCCTTTAGCTGAATAATTTACATAAATGGATGTGACTTGATAAACTGCACCCGAGGCTCTGCTACAGAAGCCAAGATCATTCATGTTTAGAAAACTAGAGGCACAGAGGCTTTATCAGTATTTTTTCAGTTACTTGAGCTCAGCCTGCTAAAAATATTTATCTGCATTCAGACCATGTTCCACCATTAACTTCCAGTGTTATTTTTATTCATGTCTGCCTGTAATATTTTCTAATGAAATATCTTTCATCAGAATATAATCAGTCATCAAAAAGTTTTACTATTTTTACATATATTATTATATGATGCTTGATGGGACCAGAATTGTTGTTTCTACCAGTAGTCAAGCGGGTTCTATAATATTCTCATAACCTGTTCCTTTACACTTCTGAAAGCCAGTCCAGATTAAACTACCACTTCAGAATGAATAAAATGCATTCTTCATGGAGGAGGGAGGTACGAGAATGCTCACAACTGTGAGTTATTTTTTGTCAAGGCTGAACTTAAGGTTAAATTCATTTAAATGAAAGATGCATGATGTAATATGAAGCATGGATAACAGAGATCACAACAGAAAGGTGTTAGTAGGACAAAATATAAACAGGAGAAGAGTAAGACAATCTTAGACATGATGTGTGGAGAAAGACGGTGTGGAGAGAGATGTGTTTATGATTTATGTTTTAAACTTAATAGTGTGTTTTTCGTAGGTGCAATGCTTATGGCCATATGGCTGAAGAACATGGTTGCCGAGGAAACCATGGTGTTGACAAAGGAGATGATGATGTCGGGTGAAGTTTTGCACTGGCCCGAAGAATGGACAGGGCTTATGGTGGATAAACACTCAACGGGTGGGGTCGGGGACAAGGTCAGCCTTCCACTGGCCCCTGCTTTGGCTGCTTGTGGGTGCAAGGTGAATAGATGGGTTTCTTATTAATTCAACGCTTAAAATAAAATTATTGTAGCATTCATTGACCAGTGATGAATTCAGAACTGTTGTCTAATCAGTTTCTGATCCACGCAGGTCCCTATGATAAGTGGACATGGACTGGCACACACTGGAGGCACACTGGACAAACTGGAGTCCATCCCAGGTTTCAACATCCACCAGTCAGTCGAACAGGTACTCAGTGGCTTAGTAGTTACTCCACAGAGAGGTTGAATTCTCAGATCTGATCGGTGAGTGTTTATTAATGTTAATGTTAATAGTGCGAACTGCAAGGCAAATCACAGGTTTATATTAATGCACTCATTCTAACAGTTATCGCTTCTATAGTAACAGCTAATGCATAAGGACTGAGCACTCCATGTAATCACTGCCTAATAATAAATGGATTTTTTCAACAATGTGCTGTTTTTTTTTCAACAAAGGAACATGTATAATTGTTGATATGGTGAAGTTTTCTGTAAGGAATTGTTTATTTAGCATTTTTGGAAGGAGTCTCCAGTGCCAGGGCTTTTTTAACACTCAGATTTGAAGCTGTTCCTTTAAGTTTTCAGACACAGGAAAGAGGACTTTGCATTTCACAGTTTTCTGATAACATGACAAGCTGTGTTTTTTGTCTTATCAATTTAAAGAGAGAGAGAAGAAATAGAGGCTAGTGATCCAACGATTGCTTTTTACTGCTATAACGCAAATGATAACAGGAACTAACTTGTGATTGTTCCACAACATTACATGTACTAACAAATCACTGGTGTTATAAGATTGCTGTGGTGTAAGAGGATTGAAACACAACAGGACATGCTGTTAGAACATGAAACCAAATAAACCAGTAAGATTACAAAACTAATCTCAGATTAATCCAAGTAGATTGTGTAGAAATTGCAGTTAAACCATATTTACTTATCAGACTACCAAACACTGGCTATGCTTTTTAGCACTACTAGATATGAAATGACCTTGGACGGTGCTGTGCCATTTATTACATTTATAGCATTTGGCAGACGCCCTTATCCAGAGCGACTTACAATTATCTCATTTATACAACTGAGCAGTCGAGGGTTAAGGGCCTTGCTCAAGGGCCCAGCAGTGGCAGCTTGGTGGTGCTGGGGCTTGAACTCATGACCTTCCGATTAGGAGTCCAATGTCTTAGCCACTGAGCTACCGTGCCAGGAACCCATTCAGAAGTAGCATGTGTTTGTGTGGGTGGTCAGGTGAAGCAGATACTGCAGGATGTAGGCTGTTGCATTGTGGGTCAGACAGACACACTCGTACCTGCAGATCGTGTCCTCTATGCTCTCAGGGACATCACTGCTACCGTGGACAGTGTCCCACTTATCACAGGTGAGATCAGCTGAAAAATTCAATCAAAAAATGTATCGATGGCTTGTGGCTTGCATGCCCAGATGTTGTGTGTTTATTTATTCTTTTTTTGTTACAGCATCAATAATGTCAAAGAAGGCAGCTGAAGGTCTAAGCGCACTTGTGTTAGACGTGAAGTTTGGTAAAGCTGCTCTTTACAAAGACCTGGACAGCGCTCGGAGCCTCGCCCAGTCACTGGTGAGACACAGCTGTGAGTGAGGATGAGAGAGAGAGAGAGAGAGAGAGAAACAGACTTTGCTCTTAATAACCTTGGCTCTGTATCTCTAGGTTACAGTGGGAAACAGTTTAGGTATAAAAACAGGGGCGGTGTTGAGCCGGATGGACACTCCTATTGGCCGATGTGTGGGAAATGCTGTAGAGGTATATGAAGCTTTGGAATGCCTCAAAGGGCGTGGCCCTGATGACCTGAAGTGCCTGGTTACATCACTGGGTAAGGAGGGTTCATCAAGTGATGCAAGAGAGCTTTCAAAGTGGGAAGACTTTTAAAGGGATACTCCAGTGTTTTTCAACATAATCAACATAATCTCTTTCTGCCACACCTATAGTATATAGCTGACAAAAATTGTGTCACAATTGCTTGTACTGCACAAAGAACCGAAATCTTTTTTCTCCAAATTTACTTATATTAGAAGTCAGGGCAACAGAGATGAGAGAAAGTTGTTACCAAAGCTGTTCTTACGTAGTTCGGGTTCAAATACCTACAATGCCACAGCCATCTGCGGCAGGGAGCTAAGAGAGCAAAATTAGCCATGCTCTCTGGGAGGAATGATGGCATATTCTCTCTTCCCTGTCAATCACAGGGACACTAGCCAATCATGAGTGTCTATGAGCTCATGTATGTGGAAGAGGGCAGATAGCACATTTCTCAGAGTGTGTTACACTGCCATGTGAGGCGGCATGAGGAGCAGTCCGAAAACATGTGGGTGGCTGGCTTCACGTTTCTCGGGAAAGCACGTATTAGCCTTCACCCTCCCTGGCAGCTGTCGTATGACAGGGACAAGCTGGCTAGTGGAAAGGAATTAGCAGATGACCAAATTGAGGAGACAATGGGGGGAAAAAAGTACATGCTTTCATATAAATACAAATTCTGATTAAGCAGTCCCAACATTGAAACGATACAGACAGACAGCTAAGATATTGATAGCAATTTAAAAGAATATGCATTTTGCCCCAACAATTGCCCTTAGACTTCCATTATTAATGCATTTTGAGTAAACCGTTATTTTTTTTTTGTTTATTTCGCTTATGGTAATCATACATACACTACTACAGAAGCAGTAGATGGAGATAGATAGAGATTATGTTGAAAAACACCAGAGTATTCCTTTAAGGGTAGACTTTTAAAGCTGCCCAGACAGATAAAGTGGTACTAGAACATCCATCCATTAATCAATCCAGCTATCCATCCAATCATTCAATCAATCAATCAGTCAATCTCCAAGTGTACTTGGCCTAAGAATGGCTTCGCATCTACTTTCAGGCTTCTCCAAAATGTCCTTGACTCAATGGTTCCATCTCCTGGACTGCTAAGTTCTCACAGTGTGTTATTATATGTAGGTGGCTACCTGCTGCAGATGAGCGGCCGATCAGCTACTCTGGAGGATGGGAAGAAGGTAATCAGTGAGGTCCTGAAGAACGGGATGGCCTTGCAAAAGTTCCAGGACATGCTGGAGGCCCAAGGGGTGTCTGCGAACATAAGCCACGCCCTCTGCTCAGAAAAGGCTGAATACTTTCAGCACCTAAGGCGTGCACAGTACCAGACAGAGCTTGAGGCAATGGATGATGGTAATGTGTAAAAAATACATATTACTACAGTATTTGATGTTAATTTGTAAATTAGTGGCTGACATGGAACATTCAGCTGTAGTATAAAAATGCATCATATTGTTATTATGGACAGAATATTGTCACTATTCAATGAGGACAT